TCGAAATCTACCAACCAAATTTTTATTCAAATTCTCAGTTCTAAAAATTAAAATAAGTTACATCGACTTGGTCAGGTGAATTTCAGATTTTAATTCACGAATTATAGAATTTAGAAATTACTAAGTTTATTATAATATCAGAAAACATCGAGATTATTACCGTAAACTGCTGACTTGTATACTTCCATATGATTTAATCCCGGTGACATTTTTGAGGCCTAATTTTGATTTATACTCGGATACAAGAGTCAGCAGTTCACAGTATACATGACCTGGGTTTTAGCCATTATAGTATGTAGGATAGATATGCGGAGATTAACTCAAACTGTAAACAGTACGTATTTGATTTTAACGATAATGATAAATAACTATTTTGGGGAATATTTAATTATGTAACACATGCATAAGACTGATGCAGATAAATTTGAAAGATCTAAAAAAAATTTAACAGTTAAGGCTTGTCATATTTACGATAACAATAATTATGATTAAACATTTACACGATGGTAAATTTCATTATCCACCAGGAGGAGGCACATCAGTTTTTAAAGAGGGATATATTAATTACATTTTAAATTACCTTCCTAAAAATGAAGTAAGAATAAGTGTTGGAGCAATGCCATATAGTTCACCACATTTCGGTACAATAATTACTTTCTCACTTGCTTTTGCTCTTGCTCAACGGTTAAAAAAACTTGGTAAAACTGTGACAGTTATGGTGGGTATGGTGGATACGGGAGCTATAGCACCAGATAAATATAATTTTGATGGCATTACATTCCAAAAAAGTATCGCTTACACCGGAGTGATTAATGAATGTATAGATGAATACAAAGAAGTAATAGAGAAAATGAATTCTCACTTTGGTGGCGTAGATTATATAATAGTAAATCAAAGTGATTTAAGTCTACATAGGAAGGCACCAGAAATAATTCGGAAAATTATAAGTGAGCGAGAAAAAATTGGACAATTACTGTTTTCTTCAATAAAGTCATTAGGATTAAGAGCAGCTTGTCCTCAATGTGGTTTGACAGACAGATATGGTATTAAAAATTGTTATGACGGTGACATAATTAGTTTTTTTTGCCCTAATCATGGTTTACATTCAATTGATATAAGTAAAGATAATTTACAAAAACTACAGTATCAATCTCCGTTAAGAAATTTAGTACGAGGCTTATTATATACGGAGGATAATAAAGAAAAGACGATTCCTTATTCTTGGTTACGGGTTACTGGTAGCGATTATTCGGGTTTTTACCAAGAGCAGCTTTTGTATAGAGGAATTGCTATGTTAGATATTGATATAGTTAATTCACCACTTATTATTTATAGCCCCTTAGTAACTGATTGGACAGGAGCTAAATTATCGAAGTCATTTCTTGTTGAAGGAGGATACAAATATTTGACTGAACAAGGATTAGATTATTTTATCGATTATCAAAAATTTAAGACAAAGTTTGGTAGTAAAGGATTAGAAGTATTATTTGATGAAACTAATTTGTGGTTGGAAGAATCGCACAGACTATTTAGAAGTTACACTATTTTTTATTTCGATGAATTATTTAAAGCAAAAATCAACGAAACAATAGACTTGGAAAAATTTAACACCAACAAAGATATTGAGCAAGATTAGATTCAAATAGTTTGAAAGGTTACGGTCGAAAGGTATATTTATATCATTTTTTTAAACCTTTATCTGGTCGAATCTATTTAATAACTGTATTTATTATCTTCAATACTTTTAATAGAAATTTTTAAGCTTTTTTTATTATTTTTTTTAAAAGTTCTATATATAGATAAAAAAATTATTTCTGAAATTAC